ATTACATTTTTGGAAACTGATCTCATTAACTGTGCAGCCTGTATAAAGTATAAATGGAGCCAGTGTGAATGGTGTTAAATGTTCATGTCGAACAATGACATTTCAAAAAGTAATTTAAGTCATCCAGATTCAGCTAGGTTCCCAAACAAGCCTCCTCTCAGCCGAGTTTGAGGCCTGAAGCTTTATGAAGTGGAGATTATGGCAGGAAATTATTGTTGCGACAGCTGACAGATTCTACCAGGAGACTCGTGAAAAAAGCAGCTTGACAGACCTTTAATGTCTTATGAATAATATATTCTCAAGTTTGACACAGCCCTCTAAATTGGTTTGGGTTCAGGGGGAAATGAAGGACACAAAGCAGCTCAAACAGCAGCTCCCTGAAGACAGAGACGTTCAAAAGTGCTGCCATGAACAGAACTTCGTTACTGTTGTCGGATTTGAGGGAAAGCAAGAAGATTCTCATTTGTACAATAGTAATCACTACATTTTTCATAGTTAACTGCATAAATTAACTAAATATGAATTGCCATTGCCACTGTCAAAGGTAGCAATATAGGTGAAGGCAATTTGGCTAAGTATATTCAGCGGACTGTGATTAGTTTTAATGTTAGCATCATTCAAAAAAAATCCAATTACAGCAGTATGTGAACATTACAGTACTCATTCATTTCTAATAATGACTTCTTAAATCTTTTTAATGTTAGTTGAATAATTTAAAGATAGAATGTTTCATTTTATGTGTTTTCATTTCAGATCTTAAGACTTTTAATTCCAAAATTCTAAAATACAAAAAATAAACGTTTTATTGAAATGTCAAAACTGTCCCATCAGTAAAAAATTATACTAACTGTAATTATGTACACATTATTCTAGGATATTGAACTATTGTTGGCATAGTTCCTTTTGCAATAAAACAGATGTGAAAAGATCATTCGGATATATTAAAAAGTGTATTAAAGTTTTAGCCATCATTTCTATCACTGATATTAAATCTGTGCATGACGACTTAAGTCCTGAGATCTGGGGACCGTGGTTCAGGTATTAAACAAACCTACAGGCAGGCCAAACTTATTATGAGGTTAAAACAAAAGCCAGCAATGAAGTTATCACACAAACATGAAGAAATGCAGTGTACAACACATTTGAATAAAGTGTAAAGTCTCTGTCCAGCAGGCAGGATTAAAAGGTGTGGATATAAGTCCCAGTAAAAGGACACAACCACGCCTGTATCTGCACTCTATCCCTATATAATAAAACGCTGCATGTAATAAATGTCTATTTAAAAAGACACATCAACCTATTTTCTGTCCCTCTTTTCAACCCATCATTTCTCTTACATCTATATGTCCTTCCTTACATAACTCTATTGTATTCTCCTGCAACAATATATCTGTTCACACACGCAAACACACCTCGCTCAGGTACAGCAGTGACCTCTCCAGTTCCCCAGAGCCTGTTTCAGTGACTGCTGCAGAGATGCTGCAGAGGCACAGCAGAACACACGCACACACGACGGATAATATCCACTTGAATGAATACACTACACACACTCTGATTCTTTGACCTTTGACCGTGTTTTGAATGTCTTCATTGTTTTTTTTAACATTAAACTGCCCAGGAACTGCTGATGTAAATAAGCCTTCTGATTCAATGTGACGCATTAACACTGTGTGTTGGTGGAGATAAATCCCATGTGTTGCCCACAGGTAAGTGTGTGAGCGTTATGTGTACTTGTGCAGCCTCTTGTGGCTGCACTCAGTACTGCAGCTTCACTAACCTGTGCATTCTTTAACTGAAACCTTATGTTATACAATGTTTTTCCAAACATGCACACACAGGTCTAAGTAAAAGTACATTGAGGAGTATGTAGTGTAAATACACTGAACAAAAATATAAATGCAACACTTTTGTTTTTGCAAAAAAAACGAGATGAACTCAAAGATCTAAAACATTTTCTATAAACACAAAATAACCATTTATCTCAAATATTGTTCACAAATCTGAAAAAATCTGTGATAGTGAGCACATCTCCTTTGCCGAGATAATCCATCCCACCTCACAGGTGTGGCATATCAAGATGCTGATTAGACAGTATGATTATTGCACAGGTGTGCCTTAGGCTGGCCACAATAAAAGGCCACTCTGAAACGTGCAGTTTTGCTTTATTGGGGGGGGTCTGGGGGGGGGTCTGAAAACCAGTCAGTATCTGGTGTGACCACCATTTGCCTCACGCAGTGCAACACATCTCCTTCGCATAGAGTTGATCAGGTTGTTGATTGTGGCCTGTGGAATGTTGGTCCACTCCTCTTCAATGGCTGTGCCAAGTTGCTGGATATTGGCAGGAACTGGAACACGCTGTCGTATACGCCGATCCAGAGCATCCCAAACATGCTCAATGGGTGACATGTCCGGTGAGTATGCTGGCCATGCAAGAACTGGTCGGTTACGACGACGAACCGGAGTCAGGTCGAGACCCCAATGAGGACGACAAGCATGCAGATGAGCTTCCCTGAGACGGTTTCTGACAGTTTGTGCAGAAATTCTTTGGTTATGCAAACCGATTGTTGCAGCAGCTGTCTGAGTGGCTGGTCTCAGACGATCTTGGAGGTGAACATGCTGGATGTGGAGGTCCTGGGCTGGTGTGGTTACACGTTGTCTGCGGTTGTGAGGCCGGTTGGATGTACTGCCAAATTCTCTGAAAGGCCTTTGGAGACGGCTTATGGTAGAGAAATGAACATTCAATTCACGGGCAACAGCTCTGGTGGACATTCCTGCTGTCAGCATGCCAATTGCACGCTCCCTCAAAACTTGCGACATCTGTGGCATTGTGCTGTGTGATAAAACTGAACATTTTAGAGTGGCCTTTTATTGTGGCCAGCCTAAGGCACACCTGTGCAATAATCATGCTGTGTGTGTGTGTGTGTGTGTGTGTGTGTGTGTGTGTGTGTATGTGTGTGTGTGTGTGTGTGTGTGTGTGTGTGAAAATCATCCTGTGACACTCTTGATTTTGCCATAGTGATTTATGTCAAAGTTAAGACAGCTAATATATCAATGAACCAGATGATTTGGGCTTATAGGGGTACAGTAATATCACACAATCAGCATCTTGATATGCCACACCTGTGAGGTGGGATGGATTATCTCGGCAAAGGAGATGTGCTCACTATCACAGATTTGTTCAGATTTGTGAACAATATTTGAGAGAAATGGTTATTTTGTGTATATAGAAAATGTTTTAGATCTTTGAGTTCATCTCATGAAAAATGGGAGCAAAAACAAAAGTGTTGCATTTATATTTTTGTTCAGTATATGTTTCATTTGACATTGTTGAGACTCACGCTTTTGCATAAAAGAAAGAAGATTGATATAGTCTGGCTTTTGTGTCAATAATGGTCATTTTAAAAACAGAAGCATAAACAAAAGCATGTATTAACACTTTCTCTTTCTCACATATGCATCCAGAAACACACACACACACACACACACACACACACACACACACACACACACACACACACACACACACACACACACACACACACACACACACACACACACACACACACACACACACACACACACACACACACACACACCACACACACACACACACACACACACACACACACACACACACACACACACAGCGCAGTATGTGGGCGGTAACCCCAGCGCTGGGTAACATCTTGCATCCCACATGCTTATATAACTCCCTCTCCACCTCCTCCAGCTGATCACTCATCACTTTATCACTTTATCCTCCGCAGGGAAAGAACCCCCCCCCCCTCGCTCTCTTATTGAAATCAGCCAGGCAGGCGCCCTCTGCAATCGAGTATGATTTCGTTACACTCAGAGCATCAAAGGAGCGATGAGATCTGGCTGCAGCAAATCCCACCTCTTCTGAAGATTTGATGTTGCTAGAAATTGAATCATAAACCTGTACTACTTGTGACAACATAGGAGCTCAGATGTCAAATCTTATTATCAGCCAACATAACTCATACGTACAGAAAAAGAGAATTAAATCAAGGGAGAACTGCAGCACACTCTCTGCCTACTCTTTATTAATGCAAACGTTAAACTTCTACAAGACGAAGAGCTGTTAGGACAAGAGGTAAAATAGGGAACATTTTTGAATGAATGTGAAGATATAAGAGTACAAATGCACCTCCTTCCTGTTTGCAATCGGAACACGCATTGCACCGTAACGAGGAGAAATGGGTATTCTGCACACTCAGTATGGCTCTGCAGCCTTTCCCTCAGAGGGAACTCTCACATCCACTCCAAACTTGTTTTAGGTAAAAACTTGCCAAAGGACACAGCCTGAGCTTCTGATGATATATGGGGCTCCAGAGCAATTGATTGAGCAGGGGAAACAAATGGACTCTGTCACTCAGGTGAGAGATGAGGACAGAGAGAGGAGCAGCAAGCATCCAGCTGCTGTCTGATCTATATCAGCACACATTATTTCAGCTGAGACGTGTTGTGCACTGTTTAAAGGTGGAGTTAACATATGTCTACGAGGGAGACATTTCAGACACACAGATTTATTTAAAGTGAGAGATAGACACTTTATGGTGACAGAGGAATTACTTGTGTCAAGATAGAATACGTGAGTGTAACATCTGTCCAGATAAACCTTCTGTTGGGAAGAATGTGTCTTTTAAAGGAAGACGATGATGTTACTCTTATCGGGAACAAAGCCAATGAAAAGGCAAAAACTAACAATGTGTCAGTCCGTCTCTCACTCCTTCCATTCCCTGTCTGTAGCACTCAACTCCAAACGTATCACTCTCTAATGAAGATGTTAAAGTGGTAGAGTTTTTGATTTTCAAAAAAGACCAGTCAGGATGTGGATAAACAGACAATACTTTGGTCTTCTCATGGGATTTGTTGTCAATGAGAAGAAAAAAACCATCCTTTAACTTAACATTCTTTTATAATCAACCCTTTCAGGAGGACACACAGCAGCAGGATGTGAGAGTGATCATGTGACTTACATTGATGAGCTCGATCTCCCAGATCTTCTTCACCAGCTCCATGGAGGTGTAGCCGTTGATGAGGAAGGACTTGGTGTAGTCGCCGAGCTCCAGAGACTCCAGCCACTCGGCCACAGACGTGGGGTTGTTGCCATCGTAGCCGACAGGTCGCACCTTCAGGACAGACAGAAAAGGGTAACTTGTCATTACTTTTCAGCCGTTATTTTCAGGACTGCACAGATAACTGAGCATAGGGCTGCTCGATTATGGCAAAAATCATAATCTCGATTATTTGGGTCAATAATTGATATCACGATTATTAAAAACGATTATCCATTTACTTTGAAAACATCAATTTATTGGAGAAAAACATTTGAACAGTATGTTTTGAACAGTTGATTACCCTGAACTTGAAGTATAATTCAACCGAAAACCCCAACAAAAAAAAAATTATTAAAAAAAAAAAGTAATAAGAAAAAAATAATCATTTTATTTCGATTACGTTGTTTTCGTAATCGTTGCAAGACATAATCGTAATAGCGATTAAAATACGATTAATTGAGCAGCCATAACTGAGCATAGGTCTTGATATCTCTCAAGTCTCACTTCTTTAGGGACATAACATGTGTTTTCTTCCATGTTCTCATAGAAATATGGGAGTGATGAAATGTTAGAACTGTTTTGCTATCTTTCTGCCCATATGGTATCCTATCTATGACCTGGAGCTTTGAAGCCTTGAACAGCTTGTGTGCTCTGTACAAAAGGAAATCTACATTCCAGCCTACAGTACATACTTATTTCTTATATAACCTTACAGCTGTTAGAATTATATTTACACTACTTTTGACTGTGCTTGATTTTACTTTTTTTATTCTGTCTTCATCCTGCTGCAGCAGCTTCATTTCTACATGGGGATCATTAAATATGTACTCTTCCCAAGTACAGAAGAGTAGAGGCGGGAGCAACTCACACTGAACTTTAAAGTGCATTTTTCAACATAGAGCAAAATGATATGACCCATGTTTATTTAAAAGAAAATAGCTGCAGCAGCAGAGGGTTATTTCTCATGTTATTTCCCTTTGACAGCCACAACAGCTTCAGTGAGTTTATGGTGCCCCAAAAAAACACCCCCCATCCGTGTGTGAGGGGAGACAAAAGTTAAAGGTTGAAAGGTTTTCAGTTCACCGTGTTTTGGAAAGTTTAGGGGGGACGAGAGGAGGAAAGTGCTGACTGGGGATCAAAGATCTCTGGGTGTTGGTATGAAACTGAAGAAGACTACTTTTCCTTGCTCTCACTGCGGTTCCACAGCTTTGATCTCACTATCTCTCTCTCTCTCTCACACACACATGAGAGGCTTCTCAATACTCAAATTTCCCCTCCTCGACTCCCCTCCTCGGTTCCCCTCCTCGAGACTTAGACCCGCCCACAGGAGATGCGAGCGGAGGACCGAGGAGGGGAACCGAGGAGAGAGGAGGGGAAGCAGCAGACGTTTAAAGAAATGAGAACTCCTCTCCTCTGAGCGGTCATTTTAAAGAGACGTCCGTTCATTATTACGTGGCAACAGCTGCATCAGCTGTCGAGTGTTTTGTCATAGCGCTGTATCTCTGTTAGATCAGCTGAACATTGTTCCCCCACATATTTACTTTGAATTCATTGAGAGTGCGGTATAATGAGACAATAACAGGCTACAGATGCGGACACACACACACAAATATATTTATATAAATATATACAATTTAAAGTATGAGAGCACTCTCATAATAACGTAACACAATCAGAGACTGGATATATCCCCCCCTCTCTCTGGTCGCTGAAATGGGGAATTGAAATTACCGGCCAAAAGTTGTATTTACAAGTAGGCCTACAAGAGACCCGTCTGTCCGCCGCATTTACGCACTGTACAACACACACCTACACACTGTACCACACACACCTACAGCTCCTAAAGCATAAGCCGTTGTGTATTTTATTATGTGAAGCACTAAATGGTCTTAGAAAAATATCGACTCTTTGTTTGTAGATATCTACTAAACTAAAGCAAATAAAGAGAGTAGGCCTGTTATACTGAGTGATATATATTATACACACTGCTCTGCTTTCTGCACGGACCTCACAGCTGTTCTCTCTGGAAACATGAAAGCAGTTTCTAAAATAATATCCAGGGGATGCATGCAGAGCTGTCATTGGCTGAGATAAGTCCGGCCGTGCGTCACGCCTCCACCATTCCCGGAAATGCATCCGTGGAGGAGCCGTGGAGGAACCATCAGTGTCTCCTCGGTTATAGCTCCTCCAGAGAGCATCCTCGACGCTCGATGCTCGGTCCTCGGTGTGCATTTAGAGAACTGAGACGTCCTTCAAAATTGGCGCGCTGAAATTCATTTCCGGGTCACTACCGGAGGACCAAGGAGTCGAGCAGTCGAGGAGGGGAAATTTGAGTATTGAGAAGCCTCTCTAGTGTCTGACTTTGCTAACATACAGCAGCTAACTTCCCCATACATCTGTAAGTATTTGTTTTTGATGTAGTTTGCATCCTGTGATCTCCAGTAACATACAGTGCATCTTTTCCTGAGTCACCCAACTCTTTGGAAAGTATTTCTCAGAACATGCAGAGCCACCCCCAGAGAGTGATATCACATGAAAACACAGATGGAGCAGGAGATTGGCTGACTGTTATGGTTCAACATGTTTCATTATCTGCAGCACTGACCCTGGGCAGCAGCCGGATGGCCTGCAGGAGGCGCTGTCGGTGGGCCGAGTTGAGAATCCCGATCTCCAGCAGGTCCTGGTCCTCCACCACGTTGCTACCCTGCAGGGTAACAAGAGAGAAGCTAAGTTAGGATTCATGCAGCATTACTACACCATAGTTAACAACAAAACTGTGTCTGTGTGTTAAGCATCGCTCCACATAGGATGACTTTCACAGGCTAAAAAACAAAACACAATACAATAGCAGTACTTGCCGCTAACTTGAATACAATGCAAACAGCAGCCGGTAGCATCTCAATGTTTAAAGCCTTTATTTGTATTATAATGGTTTGTGAAATCAGCAAATCATTTGGCTTATTTATAAAACTAATCATCCTAAAGAACCACACCAATGCAGATTTGTCGTCCTCCAATACAAATCATGTATTCCAAGTGGTCATTCTTTTCCATGTATTTCCATATGAGTTGAACAACATGTTAAAGCTCACTCTGAATTCCATCATGCATTATGTTGTTTTTTTAAGTTCAATCATCATACAATGGTAATCCACTTTATATGCAGATTGATTTGGAGAGTCTGCACTGCAGTACCTCATTGCAATAATGTCACTGATTAAAATGCGTGATGAACTACACCACATATGCACATTTGTACAGAAATGGAAACAAAAAATACGGCTATAAGGGTTCTGGTTTGAAGATGTGTGAGTGTTTGTGGTATTGTATTAGAAGACACGTGATTAAACACTGGTACAGTCTCAATTGACATAACCACACGTTTAAGATTGTAATTATTGTTACATTTTAGAAGAGGACTGTCTTATATGTTGTATCATAAAAGCTGTCCTGGCTTTATTGCATTTGTTTCACCTATTAAGTCCACCTGTCTTATCCAGAGGTTTTCCAAGTATGGCATTGTTTAATGACTTCACTGCCACAGCAGGAAATGAGTAGGCATTAGTCTTAGACTTGAACATAGTGATTCAAATATGAATAAAAAGACAAAAAAACATGACCACAAAGTTGGTGAAGTGTGTTCATGGAGAATATACAAATTAAAGTGAATGAAATGTGTGGTTTTAATCTTTTTGTGTGGCACCCAGAAACCATTTAAAAATAAGTGTTTCCCTCCAGATGATCGCCTGAATATCACTAACACCTGTGCTGCAGAGGCACATGTCCACACTAAATCCTCATTTGATTTCGTAGGAGTTAATATAATTAACGGGCTTAAAAATAAACATTTAAAACACAATATCCTATCAAAGAAAGCAATATTTGAGTAAACATGTAATAAAGAACAAGACATGAAGAACTGCAGAACTTCAACCAATAGAAAGGCATAGAAACAAGATGAGATATTCCAAACACGTGCACACACACACACACACACACACACACACACACACACACACACACACACACACCACACACACACACACACACACACACACCACAACACACACACACACCACACACACACACACACCACACACACACACACACACACACACACACACACACACACACACCAGGGTAGCATCCCCAGTTTCCACCTTTAATTAATCTAATGGGAGACATTGAGACCTATCAGTCATCGTCATTCCCCCCCTCCCCCCACCCCCACCCCCAGAGGGAAGGAGAGGGTCTTCATGCAGGCACATCATTAGAGGAAAAGCTCGATGCATGGAGGGAAGAGACGCGGGGATATGAAGACAGCTGCAGCATAGGAAGACAACTCAGCCAGAAATGTAGATTCTCACACAGGTGTAAATAAAGCAAGATCATCACCGCAATGATGCAAAACATATAGAAGGAGGGGGAGTGTTGACCAGGCCGGAGGCAGTCACACCCACCACACACCACACACACACACACACACACACACACACACACACACACACACACACACACACACACACACACACACACACACACACACACACACACACACACACACACACACACACACCACACACACACCACACACCACACACACACACACACACACACACACACACACACACACACACACACACACACACACACACACACACACACACACACACACCACACACACACACACACACACACACACACACACACAAAACTAATACCAGTGATGAGCATCCACAAAGGAAAATAAAGCTATGAAATATCTACTCTTCTTTACTTCTGTCCAGTGACTCTGGGGACATTCACTGCTAGGTAAGACAAAGCTGATTTCACTGCATTGCCCTGAGGAACAATCCACAGACTTGTAGCTGTTCAGGTAGCTATCCTAACTTATTATCACACACAAATGTCAAAGATGATGGACAATGTCTCCCCAATGTGGACGTTACCGCCATATTATCTGCTCATAGACTTGTTTTTGTTTGTTGACATTCTGCTGTTGCAATTTCAAGAAAACTTAAGGAATTGCACTGCTACTACTAACTTGTGGTCATGTTTATGTGTACAATAATAAGATAGAACTGCATTTTCTTCTTGCAGCCCTTTGTTGCATAATGACAATAACTGATTTTAAAATATGTACAGTATGTGGCTAAACTATTATGTATGTATGTTATGTAGTATGTTCACCATACTGGCATATTGCATCGTTCAAATGTTTTTTTTAGTGGTAAGAAACATTAAATACCTAACTATTTGAACCTTAAAACTACCCACCAACTTATTCTGCATTACAAAAGTAATTAGTAAAGACAATTATTTCCTCACCTTTATTGATCCTTATGCACAGAATGCTAACCCAAACACACGGTCTATTATTCCCTGCCCTTATTCTATTGCCATGTGTGTTTTTGTTTCATTTCAGGAGGTTCTCTAAACTTTACCTTTTAAAAGTTTAAAATGTCAAAACACAGAAATGGCCCTTAAATTGAGCTATTTCAGTTTCACTTTGTTGTCCCGAGGGCTCCACCAGTCTGCACTATCAAACATCATGCAGTAGCAGCCTCTTATTAGGCTCATCCTGAGTAACCGTATTCCTTCTTCACCTACACCTGGGCCTCTGTGAGAAGAGAGCAGTGCATAGAGGAGATCCCAGGCTGATTAATAGAGCCCAGAGCAAAGGCGGCGTTGGAGTTACCATGCTACAACTTCACAGCGGAGTAATGACTGAGAGTCAGCGTAGGGTAGACTCAAAGGCTGGAATAATTGCTCCCTGTTGGGATGCTGATGGAAAGAGATAGAATTCCTTAATGTCTGTTCTTTTTGTCCTCTTATCAATGCTGCCTTGTTTCACGTTCTGTTTCCACATTATGTTTGTCCCATATCTGCCATTTCCAAGTGCACATAATGGATGAGGGGAAACAAGTCAAACAGACGCATTCATATTAATCGAGAGAAAAAAAATATATTTTTGCTAACGTAGTTTGTGTTTCGCAGTGTTGAATGGTACTTTTCAGTTTACATCCTGGGCACTGGATCACCACACTGCTATCCAGGCTGCAAGTGGAGCCTCGTAGATGGGGGTGCTGCAGCCCCCTCAGCACCCCCCCCCTTCCCGCGCCCATTCGCACTGTCCGCTCCTCGCAGCAGCGAGCCGCGCAACGTCCCGCCAACACGGCACCCAGACCCCACGCAGCATTCTCATCAGTTTGTCCTTACTGGTGTCATTTCCTGGTTGCTAACAAATGCCATTGTAACACATAATCACTGATGTTCCGCTGTAACGGTGGTGGACTCGTCAGAACAGAGTGGGCGAGCTGACCAATCAGAGCACACTGGGCTCACAGGGAGGGGGGCAGGAGCTCCAACAAGCCGTGTAGGACAGAGAGTGAATACACATGCTATACAAAGATGCTGTATGAGAAACCAATGTTATTTAGTATTCAATGGTATTCAGTATTTTCTTGATATTGTGTATTATCCATCCATCTATCTAACTACTGTATCTAATTTGACTGTGTGTGCTGTGTGACGGTTGAATGTGGTTGTGATTAAAATCCTTAATTTTTCATTCTATTTTAGAAGCAAACACTTTTATTCTATCTAACATTCAATGTATGATGACATTTCTAAACACTTTGTTTGCAGATCTGGTACAAACTGTTTTATTGTTGGTGAAAGGTGTTGATCCTCCTCAGTGTTGATGGACAGATGACACGGCCTGTGGTGAGCAGGTTATCCCACAGTACTTAAACGCCTCGCAGCAGTGGGTCACAAACACTCTGATGGCAGGAATTAAAATGCATGCACAGAGGCAGGGGGTTGAGGCAAGACTAAAGATGGAGTAAAAATTGATATTCAGTCATGGTAGTGGAGGCCATTATCCGCGCCAACAGGCTTTGTAGAGTACTACAAATGATGCTCGGCATACTGTATCTTTTACTCTTTCATCTCTCATTCATTTGCTATTCTCCAATGCTCTGCTGACAAAGAGCTTGTCTTTCCCTCATTATTTTGCTTCCAGTCTCTTACTTACTATTCACACCATCTGTCCTCTGTCCTCACTTCACTTTTAGTCCATTATCCAAATTCATTTAGTTTGTTTACATACTTTCTTTATTTTAATGAAGCAGCTACTTAAGTCTCTCTAACTTGGTTTGAAATTCATACAAATGTATCTTTCAGAATAATACATTGTGTAATAAGGATAATTAGAGTTGCCACCTAACGGAACATGGATATTGACAATATTTAATTTTATATATTGTTGTTGTTTCCTCCCTCTAAGGAACATTGGGTCAAATGAACTTCCCCAGCCATGAAGTTGCTCTTATCAGCAGCAGTTTCTTTAGTAAACACAGCACAACCTCATGTGTTATCTCTTTATTTCCGACATTTATCTAGTACTGCGCCTATTTATCTTTGTATTTCCATATATAAGCTAACCCCTCTCTACCTTTGTCTTCATCAGCTGGCTTCTATTTTGTTTCTTTTTTAATCATCGTTCTGCCTGAAAGCATAGCATCCTGATAAAGGAGCTTTACATGAAATGATGTCAGTATTTGTTTATCTCAGTGCCTCCACAATAAACTGACCCTCAGTTTATCAGTGACTTTCTGTAGTATATCTCTATCAAGTGAGCGATAACAAAGCCTGCTAAATCTTTGAATTTCCACTATCGTTCCCCTTCAGCCTTCCACTTCTATATTCTGGTCACATATCTTAGTGTCTACGCTGCCCTGCGCTGTTTAGTGAGGTGTATGTGTGATGGTAATGATGAGTGTTAACAGGGACAGTGTGACTGCAGTCAGAGGACTGAGCAAGGTGAACTGAGTCTTCGCTGATGACTCGTCTCAAAGAGATGCCAAAGATCCACCGTAAAGTGGCTCTGAACATGCATGAACTGAACACGCTGCTTTCAATCAAATGATACCCTTGATTTCATTGGAGGACACATAATGCCAGACCTTGCAATGACAATTTGATTTGATAATGACAAATCCAAGTGAAATAAGAATTAGTCATCTCTACACCACTTTGGTTTAATTCACTGCTCTCAATAGGTTTGATTAAAGACCCTGTGGGCAGCTGTTTTCTTTAATAAACAGAAAGGCATTGTTAGCTTGAGAACACATCGAATCATTTACCCTTAAGACTTGGTTGAGACCAAAACAGCTAAATAAAAAATATGTATTTTCAGAAAGTGAAACACCTCTGACACAAATGCTGATGTATCCTTCATGTGTGCAATGTCAATAAGTCAATGTATGAACCTGTTCTCCAGAAATTATCCAACTCAAATTCTTTGTTACAGCTAACCCAAGTAGGTGTCCATGCTAGCAAAATGTGTATCTTGACGGACATTAGCAACAGCTTATGTGGGCAGAGGCTCAAAGTGTGTGTCTGTATTTGCGCTGAGATTCTGCTGTTAGACAGTGTCTCCTTGGTTGCTATACACACAATAGTCAAGTCCACTTTTTATGTTAAGCTCCACTGCCTATTTTGTCCCCATCCCCCTACACATATGTACAGTCATTTTCAAAAGGGTGTGATTAGTGTCCATCGAGTGTCCTTCCTATCAAAGTCTCCATAACAACCACTCAACCCATTTGATATTACAGTGGAGCGGCATTTGTCCTCTACTGGATGGTTAAGGTGACCAGACACGCCCACTCTAATGACCACCATTAGTGGTGAATGGTAATGGTAGATTGGAATGGGCCATGTTTAAGTGTATGTATGGATGTCCTCCTACATGACCATACAGTACATGGTGCCTTCTTACTCCTATATACTGAATCTGATCAGAAATTAGGTCAAATTCATTTTTAAACCAATCAATTGTACGGATGAACTTGAAATGGCCCTGGAATGAAAAAGAAAGCTTTACATTTCTGATGCACTTTGAGTAGTTGCGGTTTGAATCTGCCATTTACTTCAATTTCAGGAGAATCCACAGCCAACGATAAAAGGAGCGTTGCAAATACCAATGTAACCCCTGAAGCTGGGGCCTGAACTGCATTAATATCAATTTGTGGAAGTTCTCCCAAGGTCGGATAACATTAGCTGTCTTACTGTTTGATCACACACAACAAAGAGAGGTTCAAAACTCCAATCGGGAGCCCGGGAAAAACTTCACCAAAGACATGCCCCGAGAGAGGCCCAATCACAAAAGACAACTTTAAAGTCACTGTGATGTTTGTAAGACTGTTTCATCTTCAGCTCTTTTTATTATTAATTGTATCCAAAGGCATTTCAGAGGAGATGACTGAGAGAAACATTTTAAGACAAGAGGAGTGAGGCCAGAAGAGCAGAAAACATGTTGGTCTCTTAGAAGTACTGCCAAAAACCCTTAGCGACTACAAACTAGTAGCTAATGAATAAAATATGTTTGCGGTTTGATGAAAAAAGAGAGTGAATATTTGACTTATATTAAATGTGGCGTGATGGCAGGTTTGAGAAAAACCCTATACGTACAGTACAGTAATGCAAAAATGCTTATTTGTCTTATAGCTTTATGGAATTCTCAATTAGTTCCCAATTGTATGTTTCTCTTCACTCATGTTGCAACATCTAGTTGTTTGACTTCACTTACTGTTAATATTACCAATGTTGTATTCATTCATATCATGCACCTTTTACTTTGTTTATGTATAAACTCTGGAAACATTATGTCAATACAGCTTAATTGAATATATATAGAATATTGAAAAAATGTGCTGAAGAAGTCTTATGTTTGTGTGTTATTAGCCCACATAAGCTCTTATAGTTCAACAAAATAATAATATATCAAATTATAACCGCAGACCCCTGGTATTTTTAAATGCAGATGAGCAGTAACAAACAAGGGCAAGAGTGTGTGTGTGTGTGTGTGTGTGTGTGTGTGTGTGTGCCCCCCCTAACTTTCCAACGGCCCCTAAAGTGACTATCAGTATAAAATACTTTGTGATGCTTGTAAAGGCCAAATAAATAAAGATACACAGTGACCACGTGAGGGAGAAACACACAGGGAGTGACACAGAGGTTCAATGACTTCATCCGGTTGCCAGGGTAACCAAATAAAAGAGATGCAGGTCACACTGAGAGGAGGACCAGAACGAACACACACAGATAAACACATATACTAATGTCTTGATGGTTCAGCTCGTGTCAGGAAAGAGGTTGAAGTGGCATTATTGCACTTGCAGCGTTATCTAAAAAGAAAACATTCTTCTCTCCTGGTTGCTAAAACATTCTTATAGTATTAGCGCTATGCTTTTAAAACCCTGGGAATTAACCCTAAAACATGTATTTCTCTGCTACTGAAACGTTGCCATTTTCCCCCAACAGCGACAATCTGCAACTCCAGATAAAGTCCTGCAGAGCATCCCTCTCTGCGCCTCTGCTGCAGTTTCTCTCTACATGTCTTTATGCCTACTCTTTGCCTTCCCTCTTAATCCTCTTTTCCTCATTCATTGTATTCTTACCCTCTCTACCAGTGGATTTAAGTCTTAAAGACACACACTGACACACACTGACACACACTGACACACACTGACACACGCCAACATCAAAAGAATATCGGAATGCGAAATGACCCAGCAAGCTTCTCTTTTGCGTCACTGAAGGGACCATCAGATAAAAGCAGGCTGCATCCTGATCCGCAGGCTACAGGTGGATGTGTGTCTACGCATGTGTGTGTGTGTGTGTGTGTGTGTGTGTGTGTGTGTGTGTGTGTGTGTATATATGTGTGTGTGTGTGTGCAAAAACCATGAAACAAACATGGTTTTTGACATGCGTTTTCAGTGTGGTGTGTGCATGTATTTCTGCAGCTTGATGCAGGCGTGGGATTTCTGTGCGTAGGAGGACCTCACATGGCATTGGTGGGGTGAGGCAGAGAGGATGATAGAAAGAGGAGGAAATCCAATACATGAAAGAGATCAGTGTGAAGAAGAAAAAGGCTAGTCAAGCTGCAAAGAAAAGGATGAGAGATGAGCAGCAACACCTCAGGGAACACAGAGAGCTCAGAGGGAGGTGGGACACACCGGTAGAAATGGCTTTTAAAGAACAAAAAGGAGCAAACACTGAGAGAAGAAGAGAACAACAATGGAAGAGAATAGTTGAAGATAAACATCCAACCCTAAACTCCCAGCAAAGATCTCTGTTGTCTCCCCCAAAAACACTCGTGCCCACACTCACCATGAACTGCACGTTGTCGAATCCATTTGCCAGCAGGTGGTTCTCGTACTGGACCAGGCCGATGGAGTCCAGCCACTGACCCACAGACTGCATGGGGCAGCGGGGACCTATGAGAGGGTGGAGGGGCAAACGCTTCAGTAAGGAGTAGCCGTCCACGCGGTAGCAGCGGCAGTCCGGCTGAGACAGCTGGCACTGCCACATCATGTTATGGCGGGCAACGTGGCTGTCGAAGGAGCCCGCCATGCTTTAGAGTCTTTCAGCAAGGCAGCAGGAGGAGGGGGAGAGTGAAGGGGAGGCAGGTAGAGGGGTGGGGAAAGGTGAAGAAAGAAGGAGGAGGATAAGGAGGTGGGGGAGGCTACGCTAGAGGCATGGTGAGGATGGAAGGGGGTCAGCATGCAAGGGTGCAAGAGGGTAAAGGGTAGGCGTCCAGATGCTGCTTTTCTCTGAGTCCAGCCCGAGGGAGGAAGAGAGGGGGGAGGCTGAAGTTGTATCCAGAAAACAAGCTTCTGTCCAGCGGTTAAATCCTGCCGGAGATGGGTGTTGGATAAAACTGCAGGTATAGATCCTAAAGCAAGAACCGCTTTCTTTTTCAGCTGTTGCGCTCGCTTGGCTGCTCCCTTCAGCGCGGGCGTGTGTGTGTGTGAACGCGAGTGTGTGTGTCAGGCAGAGAGAGAGAGAAAAAGAGCGAGAGCTGCCTGCGCTGTAGATTTCTCTTTATCAAGTACTCCCACTCTCATCTGTATGCTTCTGCAGCCTCCTCTCTCTCCCTCTCTCTCTGAGCACTGCTTTACTCCCTCCTTCCCTCACTCTCTCCCTCTCCCTCACGTTTGCTCTGTCTACCTCCTGTGTCTATCTTCTCTCACGGTGTCGATCGTCACCCTGCTGCTCTCCATATATCCGGCTAGCCATCACAACAGCTCCAGCTTCTTTGTCTGCAAGGAGCCCCCTCCCACCACCACCCACACACACACACACACACACACACACACACACACACACACACACACACACACACACACACACACACACACACACACACACACACACACACACACACACACACACACACACACACACACACAACACACACACACACACACACACACACACACACACACACACACACACACACCTATATGTGTGCGTTCACTGAGTTGTGGTTCAGTTATGTGCGTGTTGTTCTGGTGGGGTCTTGTTTAGCACAAACAGGATTCCTCCCGGTGGTAACCATGATTAGAAGAGGCTTTGCTTTCATAGATGAAAAGAGAGAGGAAGAGGGGAGGGGATCAGAAGGTGGAGGATGGGGGAGTTCAAACAGGGAGAGGGGGATGAACGCAGTAAATAGAGATGAGGAATGGAGGATTGAAGGTGAGAAAAGAAAATACGGGGATTTGATGTGCACAATAAAGTCACAAGGCAGAATAATCCATACGCTCATATAGACAAGAAGGGTAATTCGGATTCATCTCGATTCAGGTCTTATTTTTGTGGTTTTGGCCACCTTTCCTTTTGGTTTAAAAGAAGAACACTTTAATGCATGCTAAGTAGGGAGACATTATCATTCATCATTTCTCTGTGGCTCCACCTCACCACTGGTTATTAGTGAGTTACCTCATCTGTTTGCAGGTTCATCTATTACTGATGTAATCTGTAGCACTTCTCCAGATCCCAGAGCTACCAGTGCTAACTGATCACTGGGACAGTTTAAAAGAGCCATTCAAATAAAGCAACTTCTACCAACGTGCCATTACCAACTGTTTACGGGGAAGAAATAGCTATACAAAAAAGTTAAATATATGATCAGAGGCCTGAACAGGTCATTCTTAAAAAGGCAAAAGATTAGAAGATTGACCAAAATAATTGTAACTTTGTGCAGTATCTTTTTTTCAGCTTTTCTATCCTGTTAATATTTTAAATACTTCAGGTTTTATTGTTGAAAACTGGGCCAAATACATAACGGGTTTTGCGGAGGTAATAAGATCTTATTTGTAATAAATCTGAATTATCCTCCTAGTCAGATTGACTCACAAAGACATACTTGTGTGTATTTTACCTGAGGCGTCCTCCTTGATGTCCAATCCGCTGCTTATGCCTGCACCAATAGAGCTCATAATCTTGTCGATCTGAACAAATGTGAGAGAGAGGAAGAGAGCCATAGTTAGAGAGATGTACGGCATGTTCAAAGGAAAGTCACTTCCCAGTAATAAGGCTAACCCCTATTTCTGGATTCAAGTGTCATATAACATGATCATTATGCCAGCCAGCTCACTGAATGTCAGTCGTTCCCCTGGTGAATTGGAAAAGCAAGGAGGAGCAGAGTCGGGGGGTGAGATGTGTTAGCAGGAAACATAAAGACAGAGTGGAGATGAAGGACGAGGAGGACTGATTGGAGGGAGCTTCCGTGGCTTCATTAGTGTCTGGCTGCTGGCTGTCTGTCCACCAGTCATCCGACCCTGGACCCGCTGCTACCCACTGAACTGTGCTATCTGTGCATCCACCTGTCAGCCCCGCCGGCCCACCACAGGGCAGAGGAACTGGCCTGCCGCGACCGGCCCCACACCAGTGTTTAGGGGTCAGTTTGGACAGATTCAAACTGTTTTCACACACTGGCAGACCCTGACAGTGGCCATATCTTTGTAGCCAGACATACGGGTAGCAATTTCTTCATGTCGCTGCACACTAAGCAAATCTGACCAAGGGCGTACATTATGGTGTCCAGCGGCCCCTTCTCCACCCTTGCTTGAACCACACCAAACTTCAAACTGATCCTTGATTTTGATCTGTTAAGTTATATGACTGCATCTTGCACGGTTAGAACAAATCTGTCCACAGACCGACCTTTGAACTCGACCTTCATTTCAATTTTTCTGTCTGCATCTTTCAAGGTGGTACCACAGATTTACGATCTGATCTCATAAACCAGTATTCAACACAGTTTAAGCCATCAACCAAAAGAAAACAGAGTAAGAGACTTTTTATTTATCTAATCTATAAGAACATATTTAAATTCAAAACAGGGTGTGAGTCTCTTGCGTTTTACTGACATATGGTGTGGTGTTTCGGAGGAGACAAACAGCACTCACCAAGCCTCTGCAAGTACAACAAAAGTTCCCAGTGAGCAAAACGCAAATATAAGTTCATTATAGTAATCCACTGGAGTTAACCTCAACAGATTTACCACCGCTGTGGTTTTCTTGATTAAACTCAAGAAAGGGCTTTAATTACAATCCAAATCACCACAAACAATCCTACATCAGCACATTTCAAGGTAAAGCCAGATTGTAGCACTCATTTGTAGCATGTGCTTGTAGCTCTAATGAGTATGTATATCTTGAGATCGTGGACATCCCTCATGACTCGTCTCCTAAGGCAACTCTTTCCGTAGCATGTGCCGCAAATAGAGCAACTTTGCCTGTTAAATTTACATACATCACAATTTCCCTGAAGCCATCTTATCTCATGCTCCTATACCACGCAATTAAACAAGAAAGGTCACCTTAATTGCTGAGGATTATGGGACATTCCATATGGTAATACATCCCCGTCAGCAAGTTATGAGCTATGTTGAGAAAGCTAATGAACATGTACATGCAAATGTGTGCAGGGGCGCACACATGTACTTTCACTCTCTCACTTTGCATTATTTTAAAAACAGGAATACTGATTAAGTCATTCTCATTATTATACAATAAAATGGTAAGACATTCTTATGTTCAGTGTAAACAAGCATCAGTTTGCAAAATTGTGTGTGTGTGAATGAGGACCAGTGAGCAGAATGTAATGTGTCTGTGACCCGAAGTGTTGACAAAAGCAATGAGATTCAGTAAGTGGTGTCAATGGACCATATCTGTGTCCGACACCCGTTACGGCCCGTCCACACAGCGGCGTGCGTTGAAGCTTCCAACGCTTCTGCCCATTCACTTTGAATGGGGTGACGTCACTTTTAGCCGAACTGCATTTTGGGAAGCCACGTGGAGCGTTGCTGGCGTTGCTGGCGTCAAAAGTTGAGCAATGTTCAACTTTTGACGCCTCGATGGAGGCGTCAGCCAATGAAATCCCGTTTATGCAAATCTGCCAGTACAAGCGCTAGCCAATCAAACCGCGTGTATGCTGGGAGAGACTACGCAGGTCATTTCCTCATATTCAAAAAAATGGAGGTAAAATTCATTATAGCGGTAGTGAATCACCCGGTGCTGTATGATCAGTCTCTGTTCATCTACCGGGATACAAACCGGAGGAGCGAGGCATGGAGGGAGGAGGCAGAGACAGTGGGTGAAACTGGTAGGTTTTCGCCTGTTATATCCAGTTTATTTCGTTTTAACATTGCTATTGCTTTGTATGTCGGGGGCGGGAGATTCATGTGATTGGTTGTTGGTCGCGTTGCTCGCAAAAAATCCCCAAGCTTCAGATACGCCCACCTCCAAGCGTCAACGCACGCTGCTGTGTGGACGCTCCGTTAATGGATTTCAAAGAGAGGAAAGAGTAAAAAAGCTCATTAGGCGCTTTGCCGTACTTAGTTCCCAGTACTTAGTTCATCAGAACTCTTTAGTTCTGATGAACTAAAGAGCAGATCGCGTTCACACCGGAATAAGTCCCTGAGGAAGGGTTAGGCAAATGAAGCCACTGACATCACTTCTTCTTCTTCTGCTTTGGGTTTACTGGCAGGCCGCAAACAACTTCACGGCGTATACTGCCACCCGAAGTCCCCGGCCGGAAGTCCCCGGAGTTGGGGATTTACCTTCCGGATAAATCGCCAGAACGGCGACACCCCCTCCTCACTCCACCGCTCCCATGTTTTTTTTTGTGTTGCCATAAGTTAGTCTCTCTCCGTTGGTGCGCTGGGCTAATGCTAATAATGCTAATGCCAGCAAATACAATGGCGGCTTCACAAAACTTTTCAGAGTTTTACGGGGCGTGGATTGCAATTCTTCCAGCCAATCAGAAATGGGAACCTTTTTCTCCCATGAAAGTATCTGCTCTAGCAGGGACTGAAAAGGGGGTGAAAAGGTTCTCATGAACTAAGTTCTAGTTCCGGATTTTTTTGGTGTGAACGCAACATTTCAAGAACTATCGGAACTATACTGGGAAAAGTACTCCGGTGTGAAAGCGCCTAATTGGCTGGAGAGATTTGGACAGCCCCCTGCAGAGATGCTACACTTAGAAAAGCATACATTTTTCATCAGAAGTACATGTAGTTCCAACGTGAGAGGAACTGATTCACTTGAGTGGGGATAAGATTAAAAGCTTCTCTTTAGTTTTCTGTAAAATGTAACACTTTCCTTGTATATCTCAAGTTTAAGATCAAACCTCATCTTACCTCTTCCCACTCAGCCGTGAAGGAGGGTGTCCTCTCCAGTCTTCCCTCTGGGCTGGCCCCCTCTCCTGGGCTGGGACTCCCGGGCCCCTGGCCTCGAGACCCAGACCCCCAGCCGTGCTCCTCCTAGACAAGGCAACAACCATTTGATTGAACCATTATCAAACTACACACAGTCAGTATCAGGGGGGCCAGATATTCTTAACATTTTGACTAGCTGAGCAATAATGCTGTTAGATAACAGACCTGAGTCCTCTCCGTGCTCATCGAAGTTTCATCTATAATAACGTATTTTTCATCAAACAGACTATGTATTTATCATTTATTTACAAAGAATTAAAGCAACAGTCTCATAAAATGTGCCGCACAGCAGGGGCCCAGATTAGAGTTATCTAATTGGTTGCATTGGTTTCTCTGCAGCCTCACTCTGCATGATACAGCAAGATGCAAACTATCTTCATGGCTGATTTTAATTTCAATAATTTATACAACTGAATATTTACAATACATTCATTTGCACTCATTGCAAACTCAATTATGAACTAAACTTTTATGATAAGAGAGATATTTAAAACTAGTAATAAAGGATACTTGTATGTTATACTAATAGCATAATGAGAGGAGCATTTCACGAATGAATCTCTGCTTCTGTAATGCAATATAAAGGCTGGGCTCTATATGATGAATAAAGCTCTCATTAATTCTTGGTTTGCAATTCTGGATTAGAAATACAAAAGAAGATGTAAAAGTAGAATTGTTAGCGACCACTGACCTGTATGGGAGATACAGCTACAAGGTTGGAGTCAGACTTGGAGAGAGACTTGGAGAGCTGCAGGTCCAACACGCTACGGGGCATGGACCTCATTCTCCCCAGGGTGCAAGCCCTTTCCTCGTATCCAGCACCCGATGGACCCCCCTTTGACGCAGCGCCTGTCCCCCGTAACTCTGGAACGTCCCCGTTCTGACCGGAGGAGCAGGAGGGTGGGTGGCCCAGCGTAGACCAGCCACAGGAGGGGCTCCCCTGCTCGTGGTTCCTGGGCTGGTCCTGGTTGACCCGTGTGTGGAAGATAGTCCGATACACCACCTGAGGCTTCTGGGGGTCGTCGGCAGTACTCTGAGGTGATGATTCGCCCCCCGTTCTGGAGACGATCTGTGAGGGTCCTCCTTCGATCACAATGTTGATTTCTGGGGTCTGCAGCAGGTTGCTCTGGACGTCTGTGGAGGCATGTTTTCGAGGTTTGGGGCTGTAAAGGTGGTAAGGCGTTTCGGGGGTTTCACATGCCGGGGAGGATCCATGAAGGAGGCCTGCAAACTCCTCTGGGATGTGGCTCTTCCTGCGATCCTCCAACAGGGCGCTGGGTGAGGATGAAGAGCAGAGAGGAGGAGGAGGAGGAGGAGGAGGAGGAGGGTCTCGCTGGTACGGCCCGTCGTCTGCACACAGGATAAGACACAAAAACATTGACTGATAAGGTTTAAATCCTTAAGATTGGCATGAAATGGTCCTGTAACAACAATGATGCACACTATAGCATTTACTCCTGGAGAAAACAAGACAGAATCAAGACATTTACACACCTTGCACAAACAAACCACAGAAAACAATGCTCAGAACACAAGAGAACAAAGAGAGGAAAGCAATGTGGTTACCGGTAAATAAAACAAAAACAAATGCAAAACAACCAAAGCTGTGAATAGCAAGATAAGAGTGGTGTTATACATCTTGTGCTTCCACTGTTGTTCCCTTAAGGAAAAATCAAAGAACTCCTGACTTAGATTTTACACCTCTGCCCCTTCACTGTCTGGGTGAAAACGTTGTGTGTCTGAACCTGTGCATGTATGCATGAACTTATCGGGTCGGATGTTCATGCAACATTGACTGTGTTTTAGTTTTTGAGGCGATGCTTTTAGAGGCTGTCTGTGTGCAGTGGGGTGAAAGAGCTGCTGCTGAAAGCTTCTTTTGACTCTCTGTGTATAATTGTTAGGGTGAACTAAAATGCCTGTGTGTGTGTGTGTCTGCTTGACTACTTGCTTGTCACGTTATGTTTGCTTAAGTTCCCAAACAAATCACACCTGAGGTCCCACCCCTTGTCATGCATGCTTAAAAGATGAACTCCTCATGATAGAAGATGCAAAATATTCCTCCTTGATCATTTGTTACACATCACTAGAGCAGAGCCGCTACGCTCAAACTCATAATGATAAATCTCCAGCTCAATACTACTCTGTGGCACAGAGAGAACATCATGTTCCAGTGATATTCAGGTTGTTACTTCGCCCCTCAGGGAGCAGCCCTGTTCTTATTTATAGTATTACAAATAAAAGCTGTAACACACTGTGACTAAAACAGACTACCAATCACCACATGTTAGGAGTATCAATGGTTAGTAGAGGTGTTAGTATGAGTGACTGGAAGTCCGGTAGGCAAGTAGAATAAATTGTACGGAATAAATCAGACAAGAGCAATGACATGAGTGAAGGATTGAAGGATAGATGGCTGCTCTAATCATCTTTTCATATTACCAATAGAGGATATTGGTACTATTTGTATTAATCCACAGAAAATGACCCCTTAATTAAAAACACTTTTAAGCCTCTTTCAGCGTACCGTTTTGGTACGGTACCGTTTTAGCCTCACAGCTCTCATCAGCATCTTTCCAGCACTCATTTACAAAATACCAACGTTAGCAACTACTTAGCTAACATGGTGGAGCTTCTAGCTGCCAAAGAGTAAGGTATCTATTGACACCAAAACAGAGCTGAAAGACTAAACTGGAAAATATTAGAGTTATACTAAACAAATGGACAGAAACACGACTTACAATCGGGGCTAATGTTGCTAACTGTTTGCTCACACATGGATTTCAGTATGATTGTTGCACTGCACCCAGAGGGGTCCAGAGAGTAACCGTAATAAACAAATGCAAATTATATGTAAAATCATGTATACTGTTAAAGGAACTTGTGTTTTCAATCTATTTCCATTTTATGTCAATTATTCTCAAAGTGAAATTACTATTGCATGGTAATGAAAAAAAAAAGATTGTAACGCTGTCTGCACTGAATTACCTCTTATTATATAGAGTAACTGACAACAAATGAATACACAGTTACTCTGTATGGACTACACAACTTGAGCTACTTTCAAAATTCTGCTCAGATTTGCACCCTGAACAACAATGTCTGGAAACAAATTAATGCACAGGATACTATAATAGGTATTTATTATACATAAAACAAATAAACACGGTTACCACAAATAAAAGCACTTATTATATTAATAATACTAAGTATCATTACTGTTATTGGCTAGAACAGCTGCTATTGAATGTCATGGTGACCCATCAGCAGGTAATAATGATGTGGGGGAAACTTCTGTGTAGCAATGCAGGAGGAGTCACCGACTCAAAAGGAGACACGGGGAGAGCTGGAGCTTTGATGGGTTTATTAGGAGCTTCGGCCGGATAATTCACAAAACAAGTCCAAGAGCCAGAGGTTCTGACTTTACGGTAGAGTTGCCACGTCAATTCTGAAGAACTCTACCCCAGACCCATGTATTTAGCTAGTTCAGAGAGAATCATCAACATGCTGCATAACAAGATAGAATCATAACACCTCTATCAGCTGACGCCAACAGGCAGGAACAGGGAGACAGAACACTGAGAGCACAGCAGCCAAGGTTACGAGGTGCGTGTGCTCAGTCAGGACAGTTTGAACTGATAAACTGGGTCAAAGTTATGGGCCTTGGAAAATATTTCCCCAACGCTTGATTTGCTTAAACACACGTCTGAAACCTACAAGAGGATTTTCATGATCTGATTTTGTTTTCTAGACATCTGCTTATGAAGCAATTATACAACATCATTTTCCGCTCTGTCGCTTTGCATTCTTCATACATCTAAATCTTTGTGTGTGTGTCCAGCCTGCTCTTTCTCTGTTCCCCGTCACTGTGTGTTACTGTTGTGTACCAGGCCATGTAAACAATATCAACACTGATATACACACACACACACACACACACACACACACACACACACACACACACACACACACACACACACACACACACACACACACACACACACACACACACACACACACACACACACACACACACACACACACACACACACACACACACACAGCTGTCAGCCAGTTTTAGCTAGCACTGCATGACTGTCCTCGGCACATTCAGCCACATTTCCATAAGAAACAATTACATAATGTGAGCTGAGACAGAAGGTATGAGTTCACTAAAAAGTCACTCGGCTGCTTTTTCTGAGAACTCCACCAAAGTGAGTAACTGGAATCATTCATGATAATAACAGGACATACTCGAGGGGGAATAAAAGTGGGATAAAGTGGAACAATATTAACATGAGTCCATGAGTGGGGAGTCATTTTATATAATACGGAACGTTCCATTTTACTGCTGTGCATTTATTTTGCAATCCTGTATGCTTCCCCTCTTTGGACAAATGGCAACAGGTGATCTAGTTGGTCTCTATGGCAACAGAGAGCCCTAGCGCCAGCATCTCTTGTGGAGTGTTTTTGGGAGGCCTACAGTAAGTTTCTTTGGCCTTCAGGAGGGAAAAGTGCAACGGCTGATAAACACAGCAATCAAATCGGCAGGTGTGTGTTTGTCTAGACAGAAACAAATTACAGGCGCAGGGATGATATATCGGAAAATGATAAAGTAGAGCTTTAGGGAAACAGAGTGTCAAGCCAGATTTTCTGAAAACAACTTATTTCAGGAATAGACCGGAAAATATAACTATTAACTATTAATATTAATTAAGCTGATGCGAATATCGACATGATGAAGGATCACAGTGCAGAAGAATAATTTGGCTCAACTGAGGCAGAAAGCTCTCATTCTCCTGTCCTTCCCTCCAAACAATCATCATGGTGCGTTCACACCGGACACAATGTGAAGATACTTTCTGTACTCCAACACAACAAACTGTGACAGCTGCAGCAGCACAATTTCAGTGCTGTAAACGGCCAAAACACCTTGTTTTTTATCAAAAAGAAAAGCCATGATGAATGAGTGAAAGCAAATGACTTGGCATGAATGACGCGATTGAAGTCCCCTTATGGTGTTATAACCTTACTCACATTCATCTACTACACAGTATATTCCATTCCTCAGCCTATAGCTCACTCTGAAGCTCTGCCTACTGACTGTCCTCCGTGTGTGTGTGTGTGTGTGTGTGTGTGTGTGTGTGTGTGTGTGTGTGTGTGTGTGTGTGTGTGTGTGTGCGTGTGTGTGTGTGTTTATTTCTTACCTGGGCATCCAAAGCAAACTAAACAAACTAACTTTAAGCTCTAAGGAAAATCATTCTGAAAGTACTCTTAATATTATCCACAGTAACTCATCACTGTCCTTCTATCTAAGAACGTCTAACAATCCGATTGTGAAACAGCTGCCGCATCACTCTGCATACCTTTATTGCGTAAGTAGTATTTCAACACACACACACAAGTAGTGGCATGCAGTAGCTCAGCCCAGAAACTCGGTATTTAGATATAGTGTGCACCAGCCACCATAATGTATGGGATTGTTGTGTAACCAATGAAGACAAGTGTGGCTCAATATCACCCACATAACACATGTTACTCTAAAGAAACAATCAGTATCCAACTATGTCATTATCATTACTGAATTATAAATGATAACTGATTAATCTATTCAGAGTATTGATTGACTGACTGGAGCATGTATGTGTTACGTCATCACTTCCTCAAGTTGAAAACTGAGAGGAAGAACCCTCCCCCCCCCCCATCAGAGTGAGTGGGAGAAAAAGAGATCTGACTCGAGCTTATATTCAATGTATCTAAACATTTGATCTATTGATAGAAAAGGAATACTTGAAATTCATCTCTGCTGGGTTTTCAAGTGGTCTGATATGCAGTAGCTGAGTCTTAATTCCTCAATACATATGAATTCTAAGCAGGTTTAACAATGACATAGTGTATATACTGGGAAAGCGAGTATAGACAGTATAATAACCAGATCTGCATGATATTGTGCTCGTTCTGTTGCAATGGTACAATGCATGCAATAAGAAAAATGGATAATCTGCCCACAGCTGCAAAGTATAAGACAGTC